CAACAAAAGAAATCAGAAGCTCCTATGTTTAATAGTTTTTGAGCAATAACCATTTTTGTATGTAAAGTGTCCAGATACCCCTTTTTGAGATTAATTGGGGGTCGGGGGGGGGGCACTGATTGGTGGGCCTGATGGATAGAGCTTCATCAGAGCTAAACAACAAAAGAAATCTGAAGCTCCTATGTTGAACGGTTTCTGAGTTATAAGCATTTTTGCATCTCCAGACACCCCCTCTTTGGATGGAGCTCCCTCCCCCAATATGGGGTCTATCATAAAACCGTTTGCTGGCGGAGAGTAGGTCAGACTCATCTACAGTCCTGCCACATTTTGTGTTGATCGGTGCAGCCGTTTTTGTGCTACGATTGACTAAAAATCACTGGGGAAAAAAAAACAGTTCAAAAACAATATGACTAATAATTAGTTGTATGATGCCTAAAAAGACCATAATTGTATGTTGCTGGGATAGGTGGAAGTTTTAGCCCCACATCCTGAGTGCACAGAAAATCCTACATAGTTGTTTGTCTCTATATGGCCMTGTGGTGAACTTGCGACCCGTTCAGGGTGCACCTCATTGGTTACCACCCCTGACCCTGAAAAGAAGAATCGGGTAAAGATGACGGATGGATGTTAGGACAAAAGAAAAGATCATATTCATGTAAACAAGAAAAACTACCATATATACAGTAATTCATACCAAATTTAATAAAAACTACAATTAAACTCTGCAGGCACATTTTTTTTATCTAATCTAGTCTTAAGGGTCTCCCTGCTAGATGTGAGTGAAAGATCATACTTTAAGGCTGGATGGTAGGCTAGTGAAGTGGTCAARAGGCTTCTAGCCAATATGTTTCACTCTTAATAAGAGGGTCCAAAGAGCTGCATGTGGCCCCAGAGCAGCAGCTTTCACACCCCTAGACTAACTTGTCTAGATCTGAACAAATAGCAGCAGCTGCTATGACAGTTTCAATGCAGATTGGGGCACTTYCTTTAGGAATTTTATCCCATACACTAGAAATACTGTGTAATGCAAAATTCCAACTGCAAGCTATAGGACTGCCTTACAGGCCTGGAATAAACGCAACACTCAATTCACCRGAGGGAGCTGACAGACTGTAGACAGGCATAAGAACTGATAAATGGCCCAAATCTTAGGTTTGGGAAAGCTCTCATCTCCCTGACAAGGAAAACTCTAAGCACACTGGTTGGAGTCCAATCTGCTCAAACACCACGAAATGGTGATGGGACTCCATGACAGTGGTCTGTGTGATGTCTGTGGCATTGAATTAGAGACCTCTTTGCACTACTTAGGCCACTGCCTGACTCTGAGCAGTCAAAGGAAAATAATATGTCCTTATCATGTGGAATTGTCCTGTATTGTGTGTTTCTGTTCGCAGGTCATTGTTCAGTCATGCTGCCATCTAAATGATACAGTTGTCAAGTTATGACCAGACTGGTGGTGTTTTATGTCTTACTGATAAACTTTGACAATCTGAGGACAGACAGCTTGGTTCTGTCCTATCCCTGAGATGCTTCATTTGACATTTTTTCTGTAATAAATTGTTAAAAATCAACATCTGGGTCTTTCCTGACTCCATTATCTTTTTGCTGCAACAGTAACATTGGTGAGATGTAGAGGGCAGAGTGTAAACAGAGCGAGTGAGTGGCAAAGAAAACCAACTGAGCTTCTGTCATGAGAGTTTGGTTGGTCAGTCCTCAGTGGGCTCTAAAAGCCAAATATAACATGTGACCCATTTACAGCCTCCCCTGGTGATGGCTGTCCCCACCACACACACACGCACACACACGCACGCACGCACGCACACACACACACACACATTTCTGTCCTTATTATAACTGTGTTTTGATTTCCAGTCATTTCTGATTTCTGTAGCCTAACCTTGAACCCCGAACTCCTAATCCACCAATGGCATTCCACCATATTAGAACCAGGCTTTGGTTCCCAAAAGAACTACTGGTCCTGACAAGATAGGTGTTTATCCCAGAAAAGGTCCTAAAAAAGTAACAAAAACCAGACGCACACACAGGTTTTAACCTTGTCTCTCAGTATTTCCACCCATCAGTTTTCCACCCAGATTCTGTGTTCCGTATAGGATTTAGCATCGTGTGTAATTGTGTCCAAATGCTGTCGATGATTACCAGTGTAGTTGACTGTTTTGATGCTTGATTTTTTTTCCAAAATTTAACTGAATGTGGTAACATTTTTAACATTTCCTCTTGTTTAAAATTTTTTATGTTCTTATGTTTTCTGTTGTAAAAATTGTTAGGATAAAAAACAAAAAACAAACAAAAAATACAGTGGTTGTAAATCAGGTTAGTCTTTTAAACAAAGTGTTGGTTGTACATCACAGACACGTTCACTAGATGGTGGTGTTGCACTTACTGTCCGCTTAAAGCTGCTCCTCCTCTGTCTGTATGTTTCTAATCATTAAGGCTGAAGTAAATAGAGTCATGGGGGTTTGGATGTGTTGTTCTTGGTTTGATTTGCTTTCCAGGTCTTTGAAATTGACTTATTTAACCAAATAAAACAGGTCACCCCAAAAGATTTTTCACAAATATTCCATCAAAGGAGAAACAGTTTCCCTCTTGTTTTTTTCAGGCTCATGAAGACAAGCTGACCTGGAAAGACCGTCTTCCTGGATACTTCATGAATGTTTCTTCTATTCTTTTTATGGTAAGTACAGAAATCAGATTAGTTCTGTACTAAATACTTCTCAGCATCTGTGGATGGAAGTAGTTTGAATTTAAAAAAAAGCCTAAACTGTCAATGTGCATAAATCAGTAATGGAATGACCTACATTCATTTAGTCTTTCAAATATTTATCCCAGTGATGTCACTTTCTTGTCAGTGGGCTGAGTAAAGGCCCAATTTCTCTTCCTTGTCTTTGCTGTCTTTGCCACCAGTTTGGACTGACGTTTTCGGCGGTTTTCGGCGTGATCATTTACCGCATCACCATATCGGCCCTGATGGCGATGAGCCCCGATCCCGAGACCAAGTCCAACGTTCGTGTGACGGTGACATCTACTGCGGTCATCATCAACCTGGTGGTGATCCTGATCCTCGATGAAATCTACGGTTCTGTTGCCCTGTGGCTAACGGAGCTAGGTACAAAAAAAGCATGTTGTTGCCCTAATAATGTGGCTACAAACAGCTACAGTTAACTATACAACACACAAAAGAAAATTACCAAATGGTAAAATAAATCTTAAGCCCAAGTTCTATGCAAGGTCAGATTTTTAATATAATTAATGGTTGTTCCACTACCTGCAAAATGAAAGGGTTATATTTATGTTTTGGAAATTCGTACTATTTGCTAAGTTTTATAAAAATACCACTTTACTTTTTGATGAGGAGCTGCGACTAAGAGAAAATACTATAATAAGACTCAAAATCCAGTGGAGGATTTATTCATGCCTAAGCTACAATTACAGAAGTTGAGCGTTTCAGCCATTTATTTTTATCAAGCCAGAGTTCAAAGATAAATAAAACATCTGAAATAAACCTCAATGAAAAATATATAAACTCAATAATCAGCTCTCTAGCTATCGCCAAGAAGTCACATTACAAAACTGGAATGTCATAAAACATTTATTTATTTATTTATTTATTTATTTATTTATTTATTTATTTATTTATTTATTTATGTTATGAACTTATATACAATATGTACACATGATTTTTGTTATTTACATTTCTTTTGTATTACAGTTATGCATTTGCGGATTCTTATTTTCTCTTTATTTTTTATTTATACGTCTTTTTGTTTATTTGCCCCTTCATGAAGTTGTTTTATTTCTTTTCTCTCATTATTTATTCTTTATTTATCCCACCCCCTTCAATTTATTTGTACAAACCTATATACATGTTTACAAAAACACATGTTTTTTTTTTTTACGTTTTGCATTTAATGGATTCTTAGGAACTTTTTTGATTTATATAGCCCTATTTATTTACTAGCCTCTTTAACTAGCTGATTCATTTCTCTTTTACTTATTTATTTTATTTTTTTTATTTGGTCATTAAATTTTGTGTACATTATCCTAAATTTGCTAATTACCAATCCTCAAATACTCAAATATTATACTAATTATACTAATATTAAAACCAGTCACACTTTGTTCTATTTTGTAGTTCAGTTTATTTGTTTGTTTCTCTTTTCTCTCTCTCTCTTCTTTTGTTTCTTTGCTTTGTTTGTAATGTTAGTCTTCATTGTGTTGTAAAAAATTCTTAAAAAAGAAAAAGACAAAGCGTTATGCACGCCTCAGAAGATTGACTGCTGAATGACGCCATATTGGAAGAGGCAGGCTGTCAGTGTAAACAGTTTACCAGGGCTAGATTTTGTTTGTAGTACTGCATATAAATGTTAGTTTTATATTTTATGCCCGATAGAAACATCATTGCAGATGCTGACATGTTTTTGCCTGAAATAATATGTACTGACAATCAAATCAAAATAATAGTTAATAGCAAACTGAGTTCATTAATTGTTACGCTGCTTTAATACAAGGTAAATGCAGAAACTTGAATTTCATTCTGCAGCACTCTCAAATGTCAAAACCTTTTTCTTTCAGAGATACCTAAAACAGATACCACTTTTGAAGAGCACCTCATCCTGAAAGCCTTCCTGCTCAAGTTTATGAACGCATACGCTCCTATCTTTTATGTGGCTTTCTTCAAAGGACGGTAAGACCTGCACCCATAGATGTTTGTGTACTGTGGAAACCATGCATACATCCTATAGCATCTATTATTAATTAACAAGATTAAATGTTCATTTTGTGTAAAAAATGTCCATCCAAACGTGTGGCTGAGGATTTATTTCCCCTTCACTGAAAGGGCAGTTTGACTTTTTCCCGTGTGTTTTCATTTGTCTGTTAGCAAAATATCTCATGAGCCACTGCATAGATTTTAATCAAACTCTTAGAAAGTAATTGCTGGATGTATGTCTACAACTGATTAATTTTGGAGTCAGTCCAACTGAAGGTGGCCGCGACAGTTAAGCGTCCTTTGCAAACACAAAAATGTCTGTAACTTAATCAGTTGTGCAGATATTGAGCTGAGACTTGGTGTGGTAGTAGCTGAGACTGATCCCAAATTTAAACTCCAAGAGAAAACTGATCACACAAGCTGTGTTTATGAACCACTGAAGGCATTTTAATGAAACTTACAGAATGTAACCATTAGATGTCCATATAGAACAAATTAACTTTTGGAGGTACTTTTGTTCAAGATGCCACCACAGCTAACTATTAGAGGAGGAATTGGTTTAAAAATAGATTAAATTAATTGTAATTTATTTTTGGCTGTTTGTGTCTGCAGGTTTGCAGGTCGACCTGGCAACTACGTGTACGTCTTTAATAATTTTCGCATGGAGGAGGTTTGTTTGTCTCGTTATCTCAGTTTCTGCTTCCTTTTGATTTGATTAGAAAAATCAAATGTAATATGGTCTTGAGCTGAGGTGTAGTTAAACTCTGTGTTTTTCTCAGTGTGCTCCAGGAGGCTGCCTCATCGAGCTGTGCATTCAGCTCAGCATCATCATGCTGGGCAAGCAGCTGATCCAGAACAACATCTTTGAAATCGGCATACCGTAGGTTGAATGGTTTCTTTTTACTCTTTCACATTCGTAGTGTGACGGCTTATCAAACATTCATATTACTGAGATCATTTTTTCTTCTGTACATATTTCAGCAAGTGTCTCGTTCCATAATGCTTATGCTGTTTCAACAAAATGTATATTAAATCTTTCAGCTCCTTTAGGACATTCCAGCTATGACTTTTGTTTTTTCAGCAATTTAAAATTTTTAAGTCATTTAGCTTTTTCTGCCATTTTTGTTCTCATTGGAAATCAATGGAGCTGTCTTCAACACTCTTAAAACCCTTCAAAGTGTTCATAAATCTTTACTTTTTACCTTATGTTCTGGTTCTTCTTTTTTAGCGTCTTTGTACAAATTTCAAATTCCATCAGCTTCTATTAGGTTAACTTTTTTTTGGCTTTTTTTGGCCATCGTTCTGAACTTTTCTGTTTTTATTCTACAAATTCTAACTATTTTTGTGCTGCTTTCTGCTAATTTCAACTGTTACCTGCATTTTTAGCTACTTTATAGCAAATTCCATTTTTCAGCTAAATTCACCTTCTTATGATCATTTCAGATTCTTACTGTTTCATTCAGTAAACGAACTCTTTCTGCTAATTTCAGCCTTTTCAGCTACTTATTTATAGATATTTTAAGTCTAGTTTCAGCTCTTTCAGCTTTTTCAAAACATTACAAGATTATTGTAATTTTCTTTATTTTTGCTTATTTGAAAATATTCACTCTCATTTCCTCCTCTGTCTTTAACTTACTACTTTCAAATTCTTTTTGCTAATTTTAGCTATTGCTTTGCTCTTTGGATTTTTTTACCCTTTATTGCTATTTTTCTACTGATTTTTCACTTTTTTTTGAAACACCAACATTGCGCTTTTATGGACAAAATGCAACTTTTTGAAAAAGATGTCATAGCTCCATCACTAATCTGACTTAAACACAAATGTGTCCTTTCTCCTTGTTGGGTTTACAGTTCTTACCCTCAGTTTTATGAATCTTGCTTCCTGTTTTTTGGTGTATGTTTGTGGCTGTTACAGCACCACTTAGAGGCATGGCACAGTTACTGCAGCTTTTAGGTAATTTTTAGTGGTTCCATTGATGAAAATTTAGATCCAGTGCTGTGTTTAAGAAGATATTTTTAGAAAGGATATAAAAGAATAAAGGTCTTTGTGTAGTCTAAACTAATAGCTTGCCAAATTAAAACAACCCTTTGTCAAAACAACAGATTAGTGTGAAAAAATGCTTCGTACATCATGTTTAGGAAAGCCTGCAAGAGCAGCAGTCAACAATGGGCCCTTTTTTAGCTAGTCAGAGCCTAGCCTGGATGGAGAACTTTTCCTTTTTCTCCAAACTCTGTGCTCCATGACTGATGTTACAGCTGAAAAATAGTGATAACTATTTGCCAGAACAAGAAAAAGAAGACGCAATAATTGTGTCAAAGAGTCTTGGTCCACCTGTAACCAATAACAGCAGGTTCCCAGGAGCTGTAGCCTCCACAGAGCACAGAGCTAGAAGGTGTATTCTCCCGAGTGCTGACGGCTGAGAGAAGGCGGGGCTGCACATCCTCCGAGAGAGGATTCACGTCTGTGGAAAGTTCACTGGGACGTCATTCTGAGCTCCCACACTTGAAGAGCAAAACAAATGGCTGGCACACAGCAGCAGCAGCAGCCTGGTCTTAGGAAGCAAAGTAAAACTATTTCATCGATCCACAGCCATTTATATCTGACAGCCGTATTAACAATTGTCACCATGTGTTTCCTTTTATTATTTCATTAGAGTGGAGTCCTGATGTTTTGTGGCTCAAAAGGCCACATGCCAGAATACAAAGACATGAGTCTGTGAGTCACAGGAAGAACTTCAGCTGTGCTTGATATTCACCTGTATGACAAACCCTCTTGAGTCATACCAAAACATATAAAAGTAGGGCCAGATGCCATTTTTGTTTTTGCTACAGTTAACTGTTGCAGACATATTGAATTGGTTTTTGATCAATATTGTTTCTTTGACCTTTAGATCTTCAAACACTAAGGTAAAATATTTAAAAGAAGCCTTGGATGATCTTTTACTGGAAGTTACTTTGCATTAAATAAAAGCAATTCCTGCCACAACAGAGGAAAACTCCATTCTTTTAAAATGTGTGATTATTGCATAAAACAACCAAGCTTTTAAACGCTCAACATGGTTTTACAAGCGCCACACACAGACACTAACACACACTGCTGGAAGTTTCTGAACATTTTCAGCAGAATTCACACACACTCACGTTTACTGTGAGCACCGTTCAAATCAGAACATGTTCTCCGAGAAACACACTTGTAAACTCACTCTCTGTGTTTTCCCCAGGGGCATGCTGTTTTCATCACAAAGATCTGTTTTCAGTTGAATATGCTAGCCAGTCTCTTCCTGTCACATTTCTTTAGAAAACAGTCTGCCTCTGGTTGTTAGACTGAATGTTTTCCATTAAGATGTTTGCTTTATAGCACCGCTGTAAATACCTAACCTGATCTAGCAATAGAACGAATAATAGTTGTTCTGCAAAATGTTGCAGTTTTGAAAAGAATGGTGAGTCTTTTGAACACTTTGTCTAAGAAGGTAGTGTTTGTTTGCTAACATCTGTACAAAGTTTTTTATAGTGCCAAATCACAACTACTGTTGTCTCAGGGTACTGTWCACAAAAAGCAATCAATCTAAAGAAGCCWGTAGATTGTGTTGAATCTTCACTTTATCACATTCTCCCATCCTGAACATCACATTGGTGACCGTGGAGAGGAAATTTGCAACTAGGTGGGTATCAGTTAGTTATGTTTAGGGCAGGGCTATTCAACTAAATTGCTCCGGGGGCCACAGTTACTACAGGTCAACAGCTCAGGCACCGAACATCCAGCAATAAAGTCATTATAAAAAACCAAGTATTACAAAGATCTGTTTCCTTTGAAATTGTTTATTTTGCTGTATTTAATCATGAACATAACATACAGAACCCTATAAAACAGGGCTATTCAACTGGCGGCCCACAGGCCAAATCCGGCCCGCGAGTGACCAAAGTTCGGCCCGCCAATTGGTTCATTCATCTCTTAAGTCCAAACCCTCGGTTTTCTACTTTAATTACTCTAAGTTCTTTTAGCTAAACGTAGACATGTTTGGTATCTACAGAAACGTCAGAACCTTGGCTACAAGCTAGTAAAAACATTTCTATGCACAGTCAAGTCAGTTAAAACTACAAGCAATTGAAGATAGAACTATGAAAGTGAAAATAAAATTGGTTTAAAAATTTGGCAAGTCAGAGATGTAAAAATAATATTTGTGTCAAATAGGAGGCATAATGTGTTCTTTTTGTTTTTGATATTGTTTAATTATCACTACTTTATAGGGTTCCGTATGTTTTCATGATTAAATGCAGCAAAATAAACTATTTCAAAGATAACAGATCTTTGTAATACTTGGTTTATTTAAATAATAATCTGCATAGTTACATCCCCCCTCCCCCATTTTAGGACTGTTTTAAATTTGGTTGTTGTGAATATGGGTTTTATTATAGCTCTTGGTGTCATTTATGTTTGCTTTTTTATTTATTTTTGAATGTATGTTTTTAACATGGAGCCCTGTCAATGATGATTTTCTGTCACCTTTGGGACAGACAAAGTCTATCTATCTATCTATCTATCTATCTATCTATCTATCTATCTATCTATCTATCTATCTATCTATCTATCTATCTATCTATCTATTATTATATTATGAAGAAATAAGCTGCAGACATATTTTAAAAGAAAATTTAACAGTTTAAATTGAAACGTAACAAATAAATATAACAATAATATACATGAAATAAATTCTGTCTGTCTGTCTGTCTGTCTGTCTGTCTGTCTGTCTGTCTGTCTGTCTGTCTGTCTGTCTGTCTGTCTGTCTGTCTATCTATCTGTCTGAT